TAATTAAATAAAGCAGTTACTATTAATTGTTGAAATATGATTTACAATTTTTCTAACTCAGCTTATTTAGTCCCTCATGCATCAGTAAGATAATCAAAAAAGTAAATATTCAGTTTTTAAGAAAATGAACACCTAGTTGATCAATAAGATCAATAAAAATTAGAAAAATCCATTCATGAATTCCCCCGTCCGGTTTTTATGTTTTTATCAAACACCTCCTGATCTACTATGAATTATACATTACACTGTTGTGCCAGCCTCCCAGAAGATTATGAATATATTAAATAACTAGAACTGGAAGTTTTATTTAATAATCCCATCAAGGGTAAAACTAGTTATTTATCTTCAGTTGAATGGTCATAACTGTAATTTGCTTACTGACCAGGGTTTTAATTGCTTTCCTAAATACGATTACTCATGACTAAACATGTAAGTTTAGAGGCTAGAAAGCTGAGCCTGAGCTGTTTTACTTCAGCTTTGTTAAGGTATCGCTAATAAATGTGCTGTTGCAGTTTTTACACAGACTGGAAGATTTACTTAAATGTCACTCATTGTGGTCATTTATCTAACACAATTTCAAATAGTTTTTGGTTCATTTTATGATTTATTCAAACCTTTAAACATTTGTTAATTCAAGAAAGACCACAGAATGAAACTCAAGGAGCAACCTGAAACACAATGAAGGCGTTATATCTTTTTAGCTCAATCTCACCTTCTTTATTCTCCTTATACGCAGAACCTTCAGTCTGACAAGAATCTGGTTAATTTTCAGTTCCTCCATTTTTCCCTTTAGCTGCTGAAACATATCAGTATAAAGTTTTCAATCCAATTAAACATAAAACCTAATGTAACGCATCCAGTGATGGTAATATATTCATGGCCTACTGCTCAGTGGAGGATACTTCACTACTGTAAAGATATTTTATTAATCCTTCAGAGAAAAACAAGTATTTTGCTTTTAATTAGAATTTTAAAAATTAGAAAAGACTCCAGACATTTGCTCGTTATTTTGTGTAAGCTTGTACTAATTACTCTCACTCTGTTCTGCACTTCCTCAGGTCACTCCTAGTCACAGTCAGCACCATGGTCAGCTCCAGCTGCTGCAACTAATTATCTCCAAATCATATCAACTGTTTCTGCCTTTATATACCTTACTCACTCTCCACTTGCTGCAAGAACAGAATCTAATCACTCTGCCTCCATGTCTCCTCAGAAGTTTGTTGCTCTGCCTGTTCCTGTAGTTCAACCTTATTGGAAACGCTTCAGCTTCCAGCTACGTCCCATCCTCAGTGCTGTTCCAAGCCTCATCTGACTTTCTAGCAACTCTAAGCTGCGTCCTCTTCACACAAAACTCAGGTTTCAAGAAAATCGACAGTTGATCATAACCCCATCAAATTGGAAAAAAAAATTAGTGTTACTGTTAGTCGATCAATAAAGTCAATCAATATTAGAAATATTAATTCATTACTACTTTGCATTCCTAAATACAATAATTCATCAGTAAACATTTAAGTTTAGAGGCTAGAAAGCTGAGCCTGAGTTGTTTACAGATGTTTTACTTCAGCTTTGTTAAGGTATCACTGAGAAATGTGCTGTTGGAGTTTTTTCACATAAACTGAAAGATTTATTTGAATGTCACTGATTGTTGTCATTTATCTAACAAACATTAAAATAGCTTTGGGATTCATTTTGATCCTCAATTCAAACAACTGTTAATTCAGGAAAAACCGTAGAATGAAACTTAAGCAGCAACCTGTAACACCTATAAAACCTAGTTGTATATCTTTTTAGCTTAATCTCACCTTCTTTATTCTCCAGATCAGCAGAACCTGCAGTCTGACTGGATCCTGGTCCATCTTTGTTTGATTGTTCGCTTTAATGAATCAATGGGGAGGTGGAGCTGCATGTGTTAAAAATTATTTCTTACGTTTTTGGATTTCCTCCATCTGTAAACCTCAGTTATGAGATATAGTAGAAGTAACCTACACTATTAGTGGTTGAAATGATAAAAGATTTCATAAGCACTTCAGACCCATGGATTCGATTTAAAGCCCCTTGTTACACATGTCAGGAAGGGAAATTCAGCTCTCTTCCAAAGGAGAAAGATGACACCTTTAAAGAAATCTTGATCAGTCTGATGGTATCTGAGGTGTATGGTAACAGTTTAATTTCATATCCTGATAGTTTGACTTCAGCATAAAAATTTAATGCAGCGACAAAGGACTTTTCCTTGTTGTGTCAAATGAGTGATATGTGGCTAAACATTTAATGAGAGTAATTATGGCTGTCAAGTGTCCTATGTTTTCATACACTTGAAAAGGAGGACTTGAAGACTTCATGAATTCACTCAATCTTTTTATTTTTACCAATGAGTGAGAACCAATGAACAGAACAGGTGAAAAACCTACAAAACACATACAAAATATTTTACCATACATTTTAGACATTTGATTCAAAATTTATAATTTATTTTAATGAGTAATTCCATTTTTTACTTTAAACATACATTTCTTTTACGATTTTAACCATGAATTCAAGTATTAAATTATTAAATTCCATATCTAATTGAATTTGAATCAAACAAATCCTAAAATTTTAGAACTACATTTTTTTTCTTTTTCTTAGGACATAAGTTTTTACATTAGATATCTCAACATACATTTAGTGGAACCAAACTGTAAAAAACTAGTATTTCAAACTGTTAATTCAATAGAGTCTGCGTTTCATGTCTCAAATGTGAAACTACAGTCAAATTACATTCAATCGAGCCCAGTTAGTGGCTTACCGGTAGTCCTTATAAGTCCTTTTCCATGAAATGCTGCTTTGGAGGCTGTGTTTGCCTTCCTCAGCTCTGTTGCAAAACCAGTGAAGTGGTTTGTGGATTCCTTATATTACCTGATTTGAGGGTGCTGCTGATTGGGCCAGATGTCTTTCACCTGCTGAGAATTGCTGCAGAGTGGCACACTAATATGTGTGTGTGGGTACACACAATTTGATACATTCATACGATTTGATACATTTTTCATATGTATTTATTGATCTCTGAGAATAGATTATTTTCAACAGGGTCATTAGTTCAGATGTGGGTGCACGAATCGAAATTTGTTTGTGCACACACACACACACACATATTAGTGTGCCACTCTGCAGCACTTCTCAGCAGGTGAATAAGAGAGAGAAGTGCAATCATGATAATACAGCTTTAAAACTTATGTTTTAATTTAGACATAAATGATAGGTTGACAGATGATTATCCAAGTGAAAAAACTATTTCAGTGTTCTGATTAGGCTAACTAACATCACTTTTACTAAGTAGAGAGATTGTGTCCTTTTACCTTTCTTAGTTTGGGTCAGTCATCACATTGTACCACTATTAGTATTTGAACAAATATTGTTGATAATCACATATTGTGCTTATTCCTCATCTTTTATCCTATCTGTATCCCCCAAAAAATATCATTAGAATACATTTGCAAACTGTGAAAATAAAATATGTACACATACAGACATACAATTAATAATAAAAATAACAAAAAACAAAAACTTTAAGTGCACTACATGTGGGCAGGCCAAAACTAAACAGTTTGGAAAAAGCTGTTTGGCTGTGACACTTTCTGCCCCAGCAAAAGCAAATCTTTGGAGGAGTGACTGGGAGAACAGCATCGGCTGAAGAGGCCGGAGGTCCCCCACCCCTATGATCTGGATGTGGACGTGCCCCTGCAGATACTGGAAATATGTTCACTTGTAATTAGATGTTTATACTTACCCAAATATATCCCAGATAAATCAATAGCCTGTAAATACTTCTTCCTTTTTAGTTAACTTTTATATGTTGGTATAATGTCATGTTGCATTATTATATGTTTTCTATTAGACAGAAGTATGTTGTGTTCTTTACTCTGTCTTTGTAAATAGACCTAAGCAGCCACAGGCCAGTAGCGCTGACTTCACTCCTGATAAAGACCCTCAAATGGTTGGGCTTACACCATCTACGCCCCCTGGTGATTGATGCCAGGGATTGGGGTAGATGATGCCATTATCTTCCTCCTGCACCAAGCTCTGACTCACCTAGAGAAACTTAGGACTCTAAGGATCATACTCTTTGAATTCTCCAGTGCTTTTGACACCATCCAGCTAGGACTCCTAAAGAACAAGCTGGAGCTGTTAGGAGTGGACCAGCACATGTTCCAGTGGATTTTTGACTACCTCACACTCATCCACAGTATGTGAGGGCACAACTATTATTTTGTTCATCATTGCCCAATTTGCACAAACAATTTCTGTCTGCTCAGTGGAGCTACCAGGTGGTGGTAAGGGCATTGCACGGGGTGGCAACCCCACTCGACAGTATAAATCAGGGGTAGGCAACTCCAGTCCTGGAGGGCCTGTATGCTGGAACTTTTAGATACGTCCTTGACTTAACACACCTAAATCGAGTAAACAGATAAATAAAAGAACTCTGGAGAAATTGATTGCATAGTGGGAAGGTAATTCAACCATTTGAATTGAATTTTTTAAAAAAGTATTCAACTATTCATCCTAGTTAAATAAACAGAGATCGATGGATTTCACTCAGTCGGCACATTTATTTATATCTTTGCAAAGAGAAGCTCTTATGGCACAGCATTTTGCCCTGTTCTAATCTAGACAGCATTCGTTCCTCCTTACTTACAACAATAGAAAGCAGTCAGAGTCATTACAAATTACAAACACTTTGGTTAACAGTAACATGTTATGAATAAACCTTGACAAAGAATCTGGTTTGTTATGGGAAGAAGCTATGTCTGGTCTACAAACACCATCCTGCAGAGAATTGTGTGGCCTTGATAGAGAAACAGACTGAGTGAAAACTTTTATAGTGAGAAAATAGGATAAATTAATATATAATAGAAGAGAGATAAAAATTTTCCGACAACCGTCCACCCTTTCGATTATAAAAGGATATTATCCTTGTGTAATCGATATTATAAAAAAAGGAAAATTTATGAATATAAAAAAACTAAGAAACTAAAATTGTGATTATATGTAAAGAAAGCTAAAAACTAAGAAACTAAAATTGTGAATAAATGTAAAGAAAGCTAAAAACTAAGAAACTAAATAACTATAAGATATAATAGAAGAGAGATCAAAATTTTCCAACAACAGCTTATTTCACTAAAATTACAGAAAAAAATTTGTGTACCTTTAAAGATAATTCTCTTCTTTTACTCCCAAAAAACCTTAGAATATATGTATTACACACACACATAATAAACTATTTAAACTGAACTTACATGAAAAAAAAAGAAAAACAATCACAGATTACATTACTAACTGTAGTTACACCCTTCACCAGTAGGTGGTGACATGTTCACATGAGGAATTGTTGGACGTAACTTAAGCGTTGGAGGCTTGGTGGGAATTTTGCATGTAAGCAATATTCAATTAAGATTATTCAGGCTGTCACAATCTGTTTTAATATTTCAAAATCTGTGAGGAAGATGATTTAACAATCGCCCCACCATAACATCCATAGACCAGAAGTATTAATAAAGCCACCTGAAAACCCACATGTTCATGATTAAACTCTAATTAAACAGATAGGTGTGTATAAATGTATGGGGTTGGTTGTGAAGCCTTAAATTTTTAAGCTATGTATTAATAACTCATAGAAAATAAAAGAATATTGAACATTTTTTGCTTAAAAAAAGAAAAGTAAACTTAGTGAGATCACAAAGTATGACTTAAATTTTCCTAAGATGTACTAGACTGCCGTTTCTGTTACTATTCCTGATTTTATAACTAAACAAAGAAAAAAAAACACGCCGACCATAAAGTAACGATAAAAACCATTTCCTCCTGATTTCTCTTTTTTTTGTGAATCTGTATCTAAATCTGGTTGAAACGAGGTTCAAACATCCAGTTTTCAAATACTAACACTATTTCCCATTTTTTCCGGATCCAGGTATTCGTATGGGACATCCAGCTTCTCGTTTCTTTTCTTGATTTCATCACTCAGCTGCTTCAGCTCATTTTGGAACGCCTGTATCAGCCTGCGGGGCTCCTCCTCAGTGAAGTGTTCCTCTGGGTAATTGCCAAAAGGGACCTTAGGAAATAAAAAATATACATAAATATTTTCTACTCATATTTGAAGTCAGACCTACTAAAAGTAATATTTAGAATTGTGTGTAAAATGGATGCACTTTAGCATCTCTAAAGTGTATTTTACTTTTCTTTAAATTTTTCTAGCATTAAAAATCTGTTTAACAAATCTCAAATGTTTTCAACCAGAACAGCTTAATAGAGCATAAGAAAATGAAAATATACTGAAAACTAGTCTTCATTTTACTGATTCGTCTTAAGGGCTAAAAAGAAATAGACAAAACCAGTATATGTAGACAATAGCAATAGAATGATGTTAGTTGAGGTTTTCCCACTTACAAAATCAGCAAATTCCCGGGTCAGCAAATACAAGGTGTCCGCGCCACGCAATGTTATCGTCTTGTCTGGCAGTGCCTCCATTATGGTGGCCTCACTTGCTTTCCCCTTTTCGGTCGGTGGGGGACGTTCCATGGTGCTCGGCAGGTTGGGCATCCAGCCACCGAATTCATACTGGGGTAAACAAAAAGCTTGTCATGAGATTTAAGGAATAATAAAACATTTTGAATAGACAGTTCGATGTGTTGGAGCTTATTCTGATTTCGAATCTTAAGAACCAGACAGGGGAATATTTACAGCACAGTGATTTGCATAAAAACAAACAAACACAAGTTTAGCAAACTCAATTTTTTTTTTTTCGGCCTTTCATGACTATACCATTAAAGTGTACATAAATAAAAGTCAGAAATTGGAATAATTCTGTCCATCAATCCATCAAGATTTAAACAACATTAATATAGTTAAAGGATAGTGTATCAAAGAATTGCTGAGTTTATCTAACATGTAAAATATAAAACTTCACCTGTCCAGAGTTCACAGCAGAATGCTGGACCGAGCCAGTGAAGATCACCATGGTGACGAACTTGACCAGATCAGCCACTGTGGTCAATTTATTTGGGATTCCTAATAATTAAAAAAAAATTTTTAAGAAATATACAGTATTTGCTTCCTATTTAAAGATTGTATGCCTCCACTATATACAGCTCATCCAAAAAGGTTTACATGGACTCGATGTTTTCAACATTATCATCATCATAGTTTGGGTTTTCAGACTTGAATACATTTTAAATGCACAAATCAAAGGCCTTCTGGAGAGATTTTTAACTGTCAGACATTACTCTTTTGATTTGTTAAGATAATCCTTTGTGATATCAGGTAACTTTGTGGGTTGAGCAACCGTGAAGCTTTTTATTTTTTATTCTATTGATCAATAAACTTTCTTAATTATAGTCATTAGTAATAGTGTGTATAGTGATTCTTAATTAAGGGCTTCAGAGCATTCCTAGTAATTAGAGTGAGACTGAAACTGCTGTGTACATGTTAAAAGCTGACCAGGAACTTGAGCTGTTGCTGCACCAAAACTCTATAAAGCTTTTCCTCTAATTTTAAGCCCTGCACCTTTACTTGTCCAAAAGAAATCACATATAAACTAACCCTGATTTAGATGTTAAGTGTGTGTGAACCCTAAAGCCTTTGATCTCAATTGGTGTGAGAATTAAAACCAAGTATGTACCAACCATACTGTCTTCACCATGAATTCTAAAAGAGGGGGCATAGCATATATCCCCAAATGTTGAACCTTACACAATGTTCCTATTTGAGTTTAACTGAAAACCAACCCGAGTTTTTGTTGGAAAGAAATCCACGTCGAAAAATTTCCCATATCCACATCTGCAGCTCAGGGTCCTCCTCCACGTCCTCGTCAGTCTTGTAGTAGAGATTCAGGATTCCTGCAACAAATCTTTTGCAGATAGAGGATTTCGTTATTCAAAATAGATTAATACTACATTAAAGACTTACTCAACAGCCATATAAAAAAGATAGGGACACCTTCCATTTTACAATAGTGTAAAATTAAGTTAATATAAATGGATATAGAAAGAGAAGAGAACTAAAATGTTTTGTAAAATGTAATAAAAAAATTTTTTTTTCCATCTTAAAATTATATGTTATAGTAACTATCTTGTACCTTGAATACATGTTGTTATTATCAATCTTTGCATTTGACATGCAATTCATAACCTATTAGTGTTCTGATTGGCAGTGATGTATATTTTAAGTAAAGATGCCCTGATCCGGCTACAATTTTGACTCATTACCTGGACCGGATATCAGATGAATAAAGCTGCTTCAGCATTCTGAGGCTGTAATTTCTGTGTCTACTGATGTCATGCACAGCAATACGGTACAGTGATCTAGTGCCTTCAAATGTATGTTTTGTAATGCCGATTATGTCACTGTGCAGTGCACACACAAGAGAACAACATTGGGAGTTGGAAGATAAAACAATGTCTATTATGTAAAAAAAAAATAAAAAAAAATTCTTTAATAAATTACTAAAACCAGTTTAAGTTCCACCCAGAAGTGGGTTGTGTGCTCAAAAAAATTGTACTAAAGTAAGAAAAGCGCTACACCAAAATGTACTTAGGCTACTTAAACACTGAGTAATAGTTTAATCATAATATCTCTGTTAAGTTTAGAAATAAAGCAGGTATTATTTGAAAGTTCGGATATTTAGAATACTAAAATAAATAACACACAGTAACAAGTAACCTCCTCTATGTAGATGTTTACAGAATATTAATCCAGTCTCTACCCAATTCTGTGTAAATTAGGTGTTTAACTTTTTCAAAGAATAATTTAAACCAAAGATTAGAAATCATTGTGAACATCTGGAAATGATGACCTGAATATTCAATTATATAAATAATTTCTTCAATTTGTAAAGAAATACCAAAGGGAATTTAAGAAATTCCTAAAAGTGACTTTGTAGTTATTAAATGGAAAAAAACATCTTCCACATGTTTGAATATCCAGGTTTAAAACTGAATTCCATAACCAATTGTACCTGTGTAGGCTGTTCCACAGTTTCAGTCCGTCATCTCTGTAGTAGAAGTTGGGAATATTTTCCATCCCACGATCTGCAATGTCATCAGGTATGCAGAGGGATCTGTACGTCATTGAGGACAAGGAGTCCTCCAGGATTTTGAACATACCCTCTCCACCCGAAGCTGACATCTAATGAAAAATGTATTACAAGTTAAAATATTTTCATTTGTAAAACACAAATGTCGTTACCGACCAAAACAATGTTTTCTCACCGTTGTCAAGACACCATCCTTAGATATTAGGTCCGTTCGAGCCAGGACATTAATATGCAGAGTGTAGCGAGTGTGGGGTATGAGAAGCTGAGGACAGAGAAAGAAATCATTAACCCTCATGCTTTTTGTTTTTTCTTTTGCCAAACATAAACAATGGCTAATTCAGAAAATGTGTATGAAGTTGGACATTTATTTAAACTAAGGAAAAACTGCCCTCTCTCAATATGCCTACTTGAGCATTGTCATGTGTTCATGACACATCATAAGCCCCACCTGGCAAGAACACAAGATCCAGAACACGCAAAATTCCTGGTATATTGTTCCCGCCCCTCAAGAGCTCAGAGTATTAAGTTAAAAGTCACTTTTCTGTTGCTGTTGTTCTACAAAAAGTTTTCAGATCATTTGAGGCAAGAACCTTATAATTATAATCTTCGCTATATGATGAGGTGTCAATTAAATGTCCAAATGCTTTAAAATATTGGCTCCATAAAAGTTATGAACAGAATCGGTGACAAAGGGCAACCTTGGCGGAGTCCAACCCTCACTGGAAACGAGTCTGACTTACTGCCGGCAATGCAAACCAGGCTCTGACACTGGTCATACAGAGAACTAACGGCTACTATTAAAGAGCCTGGTACTCCATACTCCCGGAGTACCTCCCACAGGACCCCCGAGGGACACGGTCAAATGCCTTCTCCAGATCCACAAAACACATGTAGGCTGTTTGTGCAAACTCCCATGCACCCTCCAGAATCCTGCTGAGGGTATAGAGCTGATCCAGTGTTCCACGGCCAGGACGAAAACCAAACTGCTCCTCCTGAATCTGAGATTCGACTATCCGACGGACCCTCCTTTCCAGAAACCCGGAATAGACCTTATAGGCTTAAGAGTGTGATTCCTCTGTGGTTGGAACACACCCTCCGGTCCCCCCTTTTTTAAAAAGAGGGACCACCACCCCAGTCTGCCAATCGAGGGGAACTGCCCCTGACGCAATGTTGCAGAGCTGTGTTAACCAACACAGCCCCACAGCATCCAGAGCCCTAAGGTACTCAAAGCGAATCTCATCCACCCCTGGAGCCTTGCCACCGAGGAGCTTTTTAACCACCTCAGTGACTTCAGCAACAGAGACGGGAGGACCCAAGCCGGAGCCTCCAGGCTCTGCTGCCTCAATGGAAGACGTGTTGGTGGGAATAAGGAGGTCTTTAAAGTATTCCGCCCACCGACATACGACGTCCCGAGTCAAGGTCAGCAGCACACCACCCGCACTATAGTGTTTGGTACTGCACTGCTTCCCCCTCCTGAGACGCCGGATTGTGGACCAGAATCACTCCGAAGCCGTACTGAAGTCTTTCTCCATGGCCTCTCCGAACTCTTCCCACGCCCGAGTTTTTGCCTTGTACTTTTACTTGAGCTTCAATCTTAAGTTTAAACAATAGGATTTATACTTAATTGAGTAATAAAAATTAATGCTTTTGCCACCTCTGTACAGTGGCCCTGAAGTGCAAACTGCAACTACAAATCTAAAAGCGCAACTACATTAAGGAAATCGCAACTACATAAAGCAAAGCGCAACTACATTAAGAAAAACAAAACTACATAAAGCAAAGCGCAACTACATTAAAGAAAACAGAATTACATTAACCTACCGGAAAAGGTAGGTACCAGTGGGAAACATGAGACAGCGCTGATTGGACGACGGCGCCGTTTGACCCTTGAACCGGAAGTCATTCTGCCTGCTACGGCTTTGAAAACATGGACACTAACTGAAATTTCGTGATTAGTCTTGAGCATATCCAGTATCACCTCGTACGTATGTCCTGATTCAAAATATTCCTGGATAACGGCAGCTATGTTTGGGGCGCCGAATATATCCATTTTTTCAAAAGCCGCAGCATCTAGAGACTATTAATAGCAGGAAGTTGACAAATGGCATATCTAAATTTTATGCTAAGAAGCTAAGCTGAACATCATATTTCTTTAGGTTCACTTACTTTGTACAGTGGATGAACCATAGGTAGGTTGCGCCGCGTGGACACTGCAAAGACCTCAGCCAGCAGGTGAGTGCGCAGCAGGTGAAAGTTGAGCTCATGCAAATTAAATTCTGCACTTCTCACAAAAGTTTTTGCCAACAACCAGTCATCTTGATCAGCAGGAAGGAAGATTGGGTTGTCTGGTCCTGGCTCCTGTTTCAGCTATAAAATAATAAGGCAGTGTAAGGGGTTAATTCACGCTTTGGAATTAAATTCGTTAGTGATTATTGCACACAAAAAAGCCTTCGAAGTTTAAATCATTATTTATTGTATTTCTATGTTATGGTGTCTTGGACTGTTTTGGTTTTAAATTGAAGAGTTGATATTTAGTCACTTTAAGTGTTTTAAATTGCATTGGCATTTGCCCTCCTTTATTTAAGATATATATAATATTTTAGAAGCTTTTCTTCCTGTTAGAGTCAACTATCAGTAAAGAATAATAGAGTGGCAGGGGTCCATTTGAGGAAGCAGGTTTAATAAACTCAGATTCAAATCTTCAACTCTAAATCAATCTAGCCTAACGTTGGGCATTCTGAGTTTTCAATTTCACAACAGCTGCTATGAATTAGTTCAATTAACTCTAAGTAGGAAAAGCCATTATCAGTGGAGCACAGATTCGAAGACAGAGAAACTGCACTACAGCTGCAAAGAAGAGGAAGACGGCAAAGGAGAAGATTGTTGCTTGAAGTGCCCTATGGCAAGCCATTTTACATTTATTAAACGCGTTCTCCTCTCTGTGGTTCCATTTGAAGATCACTAAAATAAGATTCTTCCTGACAAAAAAAAAATCACAATCCTAGACTGAACTGTAATAATATATTTTCTAAATTAAATTTTTGTAGCAGAAACTGGATTTTAGAAAGTACAAAACAAAACTATAATCATTAAGCTTTATATATCTAGAAATGTTTACACATTTAAGTCGATGTTTTGACATTTATCTGCTTGACTGAATATGTATTGTGAAAAAATATTTTTCCTTAGCCTGTTTGAGAGATAAAGTGTTTTGTGTGTGCCTTTTCTCTGCCTAAATAGGGGTGAATGTTTAGAAGCCTTGTTCCAGTCTGTGATAACCCTAACCCTCTCTACTCTAGACAAGGATAAACATGTCCTTATTGTGTTCAAGGTTCTCACATCCTGTTTTATGCTGTGAGCGAAAGACAGTTGATGTCATGCTGAGAAAACTGTTTCTCTGAAATGTTTATCTGGCTAAATTTATGTTTTCCTTATTTTGCTCAAGTATGTGAGAAAGCTTTTTTGTGCAGGCGGTGGGTTTGGTTTGATGGGAGAGAGAGAGAGGGAGAGAGTGTATAAATGTATGTGCTTAGGATGGTTAAGTCAGGGCTTTTATATTCCCTCCGTGTCATTGAGGACATTAAATAAATTTGAATGTTATCTCCTGCAAGAAATGCTTCCGACTAAGTTTCCTAGCTTCACAGTATTTATGGTATCTGAAAAAAAAAAATTTCATAGTTAAAATAATGCAAATCCTTACCAGTAATATTAGGAATATGGAGATCTGAAATTAATTTCTAGACATCCAGAATGTTTATTCTACATGTAGAAAATGTCCGTTTGTTTTGTTTTAGACAAAGGAAAAATGTTTTTAGATTTTTTCAGATATCAGGAATACATATTCAGTAAAACTATTACATATCAAAACGGCATACCATCACTGGGATTATTTCTTGAATGGTAGTAGATCAATTTACCTATTTAGGTAAAATCTTCTGGCAGCAGATGAAGATGAAGTCTAAAAACTAATATATAGAACCTGTGCATCATCTTATGGCTTCCTCCTCTTATTGATTCAGTCTTGTTTTACAAAATAAATACTAAATGGCTGTTTGCAGCAGCGCTTTGTATGTTATCATCCCAATAAATTAGTTATAGAATAGAATGGCCATACAATGGCTTCAGATTTTACCAGTAGGCTTCATAGGTTATCATCAAATTAATCCTAACCCTAAAGTAATTAATTTTCCTCTGAGGAATTAATGAATCTATTTATGAGTAATCTGAAAATAATTTCAGTAGTTCTTCATGTACTGTAATTATAGTTAAATAAAAAAAATAAAATGATCCACATCTCACCCATATTAAACAAACCAACACAAGTAACCTGTCAACTGAGTTGTAGAATCCTCTCCCTATAAATATTTAATTCTCTGTGAATTAATGCCGATCATACTTTAATTAGATCCTCGTCAATCAGACATTGCAATGTTTGATTTTAAAACCTAATGTGTCTAACGGACCTAGAAAATGATATATGTATATTTTTTATGCACAAAACTATGACAAAAACGTACTAAATGAGGAAATAAAACAACCTGATTAGCTGTAAGGACAGCGGAGACAGACAACACCTGCTACTGACCAGGTTAGCTCTGGGGAGAATGTTTATATGGTGATTGAAACACAGGTTGAGGAAATTCTCTCTTTATGAAAAGGAAAAGTCAGTTTCCCTGTTTTCAGGTTTAGAAAACAGATTTCTGCAATCATAACCCCACCTTGGTGCAATCGATATCTTCATAATGAAGACTTTTTCATCATTTTTCGACAGAATCATTCTTTAATTATTTCTGTGTGTAGCACAATTAGTTTTTGACGAATAAAACTTACCTGAATTGCAATAGGCACCAGTTTATCATCAGCTGTTTTGTGGAGCAGCACAAGTGGAGCCGCCAGGTATTGCTGCTTTCCATCGATTTTTCTTGCTTCTACTTTGTCCAACATCTTGTAGTCACACAGAAATATGTTGCCACACTGTTGTAGAGATAAAAATAAAAGACCTTTATTGATCTGGCAGATAATATCACATTTATTTAAGAATCAGACTTTTAGCAAAAAAACAATTTTAAAATCACCTGCATTTCCTGATCCAGCCAAGAGGGACCGTTGCTGTGCTGGCTGATCATGTCATCAGTGACAGGAAAGTTGTCAGGCAGGGTATCACAGCGTCTGATCACCATGGGGTTAAGACCATTCAGGAACTGGTAGCCAAAGAAATCATCATCCTTCCAGTTGTTTTTGACATAGTCTGTAACAAAGGACAGAATTTACATCTTGCTTTTTGCATGTGTGTGTGTATATATATATATATATATATATATATATATATATATATATATATATATATAAATAAAATAATAGAACCTACCCAAAATTTTGTTTTTGCTGTAATCCATCATCCCACCGATCTGATCAAAACCAGACCATTTATTATCATAGAAAAACCTGGGTTTCTTCCATTCTTCCCATAATTTGCTATAAAGTAAGAAGAAACACTGTTACTAAAATGAATGCATTATAATATGTGCAAGATGTTTCAATACTGTCTGTGCAAAGTCACAGAGAAAAGTTTATTGATTATCAACATTTAGAATATAAGGACTTACCCCATAGCTCCCGTAGTCACAAAACCGGTTAACTTGCTGAATATGAACCGGGCGTCTAAAGGCAGGTCCGTGCAATATTTTGCTTTGATATGATCAGGTATTCTTTTTCTAGATATTTTCCAGCTGAAAATGTGTTAAAGTAAAAAGTTTTTACCTTTGGTGTTTTCTTTGTTGTTCAGTTTATTGTTTTACAGTAAGGTAGTTTTAACACGGTTACATATTGCTTTTCAAATACAAACTGATTGGATCAGTTGTATAACTATTTAACCGTCATCCAAAAGTGAACAACATTTGCTGGCATAAATGTAATTTCTATACCAACTCTCATCACTCACCGATATGCTTCTTGCCGATTATCAAGCTCTTCCTGTCGACTGGATGAGTCGAAAGGGTCCTTTGAGGGTATAAAAGCTAAAGCAAACATAGCAAGAATTTAGAGTTAAGGTGAAAGATGCAAATTTAGGCCTTAAGTTCAGATAAACTCTCACTGTAATTGCACAAACCTTGACCCTCTCTGAAGTAGTGTTTCTCATTGTCAGCAATCCAGGTGTACAGGGGGAAGATGTAGGTTTCATTTGTCTCAGTTTTGACTTCTATTTTTGTTGGTAACCAATTGTCATTAAAATAAAACAAACGCCCCTTCTCCTTCTGAACCACTACTTGCTGCAGTTTTCCAAGAGATTCCTCTGTGGTTATGGTAACTTTTAACTCCTAAAAAAATGACAATTGAAAATATGATACAGAACAAATAACGTAAATGGTTTTAACAAAAAGATACAAATTGGGATAAAAAATGTGTACTACCATTCCTAAGAAGGATTTTCCTCCAAAGAGCCATGTTGTTTTGCTTGGTCCTTTTTCCCCCACCAACGTGATGTATATGTAGTCCCTAGTGTAGGCAGCTAATCTTTCAGAGTTATACACAGTGACTTCATAGTTCACCATTTTTACTCTTGGCAGTAAGTCACTTCTGATGGGAGAAAGAGAGTGCATTAATACATGTAGAATGACTACCAATAGATTAACCTGCAACATTCTGTTGCATCATCATGATGCTTAAGAGAAGAACTACACATAGCAGCTAATTTAAATAATTTCTCATCTAAACTGATGATTGTAGTCTGATAAACCCTTAAATAAATAAAAACATGCATGTTACCTCTACAAGAGAGTCCAGAAGGTTCCTCTGAGGATCTGAAGCAATGTTGCCTCTCTGGAACCAACCCCTTATATACACAGATGGTTGAGAACATTTCTGGTCTGGAAACGTAAAAAAAAATTCATTGGAAACCATTACCTCGCTTAAAATACCATGGAACGAATATACCTCTAAAACAACGCCTTTCTTGGGAACAACTAACAGGTTACCATTATGAAATCGTTGTTCCAGGGATCCCAGCAAGGAGCACATGATGACAACACAGATCTTAGTTGTAAGAGGGCTTCCGCACACGTATTATAGTAGCAGAAAGCATCACAAATGTTTAATTTTCATTACTGGAGTTTACTTTTTTGAGCTTTTTTATTTTGAGCTGAATTTGGAGCATTCTGCTACATTAAAAAGTATACCTTTTTTCTATTCTATTTTTATTCCCTCTTTTTTCTCATGTACGATTGCATTTAAAATAAGAAGATATATATATTTTTGTGATGTGTGTGCTCAGTTAAATGTGCCTTTTCCCCCACTTTTCTTCTGACTCATTCCAACACTTTTTAGTTGTCGCTCCTGCTGGAACTTTGCCAAAAGTGAAATGCTGCAGGTCTCACTGTGAAATCTGCTGTTTCCATAATAAAAACACATCCAATATAAAATAAATTAACATTTCAACGTTTATTTATTAAGTTTTTGGCTATTTTGCTCATGTATCTAGGTATTCAGTAATTCACTGTTAGAAGACAAAGCTTAGTTTATTTAAAATCACACACCCTCCATTGTCAAATCTATGTGGTCCAAAAGCAAAGGTAAGAACAGCACAAACAATACCATATAATACTTGCAAACACACATAGAAGATGTCTTTATCAAAGAACTTTGTTAATTTCACTATTTTGATATTTCTTTAACCTTATCCAGAGGAACTGAAAAAAAAAAAAAAAAAAAATTATATATATATATATATATATATATATATATATATATATATATATATATATATTTATACACATACATATACAACCACACACACAAACATATAAATAAAATAAACAGTAAAATATTTCCCGTGTATGAGCTTTTATTTTAGTTCAAATAAACTTCTGGTCCTGAAAGTGCATGTCTGCAGCTAGACTCTCTTGCATGGTTGTACAGAGGAAACATGTCTTAAAACAGAATAAGTCAACTTCAAATAATCATTTGTAAAACCAACAGACAAATAAAGCAGATGAAAACATAACTTAAGTCAAACAATGGTACAGACACAAATCTTTCTACTGGTAATAACATTAAAATAACAAGAGAAATGTATATTTTCTGGAGAGCATGATAAAAATATGAGATGGCAATTCCTTTCTTTTTAATATATGGCAGCCGTGTTGGTTCATTATATGGATATTTTATTTTAAAAACAGATTATGGCAGTCTGGTGTGAACGTTAAGCAATTTATGGGCAAGGTCACATTGGGAGTCTGCTCATACACACGCATAAACTTAACGTAGGTTCTTTCTTAAGAAATGCACCATTGTAAAACCAGATTTGTGCACAATATGAAGCTCAGCTGCAGACAAGACTCAGCATGTCTTAACAGATTATGTAATGTATATAATTTGTCTCAGAAGTGAACTGTGGGAAGCCCTGCAGCCATCTTCACTCTCATCCCTTATTTATTAAAAGGACAGTCTAGTCCTTAAAGCCTTCTAATCACAGATGTAACTTTCTGAAGGACTGGTGGAGACAGTCTCCACCAATAATCTCTGGGGTTTTTTCCCCCTTTCCACTCCTTTACTTTAGCCAAAGGTAGCAGAGGTTGGGTGCAGGGGTCTGCGTTTTGAGTCTGTTTTTTTCCTCTTTCCTGTTGCTCACCAATCACCCGTCCACCTGTCGCTGCTAAATTTGTTACCCCTCTGTAATCGGACAGAAAGGTTCCCAGTCTTTTAATTTTTGACTTTAAAAGATGTTTTATGATGACAAATAACTCCTGAAACTTTGGAGGTGATAGTCCTTTGTTTTGTAAAGTTACAAGGGGGAACAAATTCTAGCAGGGAATGACAGGCTTCTTTTGTGTCCCTTTGTGTCTGATTTAGACAGGGGAGACAAGTTAAAGCAGGGACAGAAATCTACAGCAAACACTATGGTTGATGTAGTTCAAGCCTAGTGTCTAACCATAAACTTAAGAATGTGTATATTCCTATGTTGGATGGATGTGTAGAGCTGATGGGGATTCCAATTCTGGCAATATGGGATGAAATAAAATGCCTCATGTTATAACAAAGACTGTTTCCATGAGCAAAGTCCATTAGAGAGATATGTGTTATCTTACTGTCAAGCTGTTTTGTGTTATTATATGTCACTAAAACTATTGCAACAAATGCATTATGTATATTCACACAATTTTTGACCATTGCAGTATTGTTAAGTAATTCATCACACTTGCGGCAGATTTAATTACGTGGTTAATAATGAGCGGAGCAGAGTTTAAGTTTTCTCCTCATTTATTAATAAACACAAAGCTGAACTAGAGCATGACCGCTCTCTTTACATGCCTCACTTGAACCGGACATCTTGCGTGATTACATAACACTCTATATCACAAGTGATTGACTGAACCATACAACGTTCCATGTCATAATAAGAGTGTCATATATTCACATTTAACAAGTATAAACACAATAATAATGGTAGAATATTAGTTTTCTAAACCTCTCATTTATTGACATTAAAAATAAATAGGCCCATAGAGGCTAATATCCATACAAATCATATAACTTTTAGACCCTTAATATCATGCCCAAAGTCAATAGTCAACTAAATCAAAGCAGAAAAATATTTGAATATTTTTTCAATGATATATTACTCTATAACATTTAATTAATTTTTACTTTATACCACTGGGAATAATAAAGGGTAAATAATTAATGGATTGTGGCTATATAGTACATTTTTTTGAAAAGGCATGAGATGTACATTTGTGTGTGTGTTTTATGTGCATCAGATTGTAGTTCAAGGATCATGTTTAATTTTGCAGAGATGCCTCATAAGGAGAAGAGGTTAAGACCAAAACAAAAGGAGCTGCAAAAAAGAGAAATGCCACTGATGAGTACAAACAACTCATACACAGCACTGTTAAAAAAGTAAATGGCAATTGTTGTTCTAACACACAATTGTATTGTAATCCGACTCAGAAATATAAATTTGACATCTAACAAATAAATACACGTTTGCCCAACTCAAATTCTCAGAAGTTGGTTTAACAAGGAGTTTTAAATCGCCTATACAAGATTTTTTGAGTTCCCTCAACTGTAAACTCATGGGCATGCGCACTGCTTATGTTCATGGACACGCCCACTACGGTACGGGGTTTCCTATCCCTTTCTTCAAGGGCACAGCCTTTTTCCCTCGTGTTTGAGAAGATTGGCGGACATTGTGATTTTATGCATCTGGAGAACCACGGAGGAACGACCCTGGGACCTTACCAGTTTTCCCGGTGAGTGCTGCAAAGTACAGACAGTTAGCGGTTAGCTCCGTGAGTTAGCATTCCCTTGTGGTGTATTGCCACCGAGTTGAAGCATGAGTTCACATGTTTTTCACGTTCTGATGAAAGGAAAAGCAGCGCACGTGCACGTGTATAATGCGCGTGTGCGCGTGCGTGTTTATGCCGCGCATGTGCGGGTGAGTGTTTATGCATAGAGAAAAGAGTGTGCCTGTTATTTTCATTGTACAAATGAAAAGAGACATTAAGTTGAGTGTAATAACTTATTAAATTTCTAAATTGTTTTATGTAGTGCAGTGTTGTTGCACTCAGGCACAGAATATTACAAGACTACATTATTTTACTTTCTTAATCCGATGTGGGTATTTACTGTTATTTACATTATTTACATGTGGATTTTTTGCTTTCATGATTTTATTTGCTTTACAAGAAAAACAGTGACATTAACATTTTATATGTTAACCCTGTAATGCAGCAGTTAATTCGTAATGAGTTAGAAAAGTTACATTACACACTGAAATTTATCATACTTGGAGAGATATAAACTACAGTTAAGAACAAGAAGTGAATGGATTTAACTAAGCCCTGTTGTGCTATGCAGGCTGGGTTTTTTGGATACCCTGGATTCTGGATTTTCTCCTTAAATGGAGATGGCGAGCCAACCGTGTGAACATCTGGATTTGGACTGAAGAGAAGGATTTGGACTGAAGAGGACTTTCTTTTTTTGCATTCATCGTCCTGTCGGAGTGGTAGGACTAAAAAGAAAAACTCAGAGATAAAAAGGGAAAACCTTTTTCTTTTTCCGTTGGGAAACAAGACATTTTTATTTCATTTTATTTTTTTTAAAAGGGTGCACCCAATTTTAAGAGACTACAATTGAAAAAAACTAACTGAAGGCCGTCCAAATTTGTAAAACTGTTATTTTTTCATATATGTTAAGACACTTACTTCACAAAAAATTACCTGTGTGTTTTCCTCTTACTAAAATGGTGTCTTACTGTTTTTTCCCTCATCATCACTCTTACGAATCTAGAACATTCTGATCCAGTGTCAGGTTACTTTGATCTGTGCAGTTAAGATTATGTTGTTGAACATGGTTTTATACTGTATCTATTGATGCAATGTTTGGCTTGAAGCAATAAAAATGTTGTATTAACATAATTTTTTGTGTGTTGAATGATTGGTAGTGAAGACGATTGGTAGGACTAAAAAAACTGAGTTGATAGAACTCAACTTGCAGATAACACTACAAAATCTGAGTTTGTAGAACTCAAAATCTATATGTCAAACTCATAAAACAAAGTTGATAGAACTCAGAACTTAAAGGTGAAACTCAAAAACCTAAGTTGGTAGAACTCAAAATTTCTATGTAACACTCCAAAAACCTAAGTTGGCAGAACTCAAAAATCTTTGTAAACTCAACCACAGTGAATTTAAGTAAGGAAAACTCAAAAAACCAAATGCATCACGTTGCCTAGAAAATGTAAGTTCTGTCAACCTCTATTTTTTTTTCAGTGAGAAAGACACTGACATAATTACAGAGCCACAGATCTCAACAAGTAGTCTCTTCCAAACTATGAGCAGTAACAGTGCAGTCAGTCACAGTGAGCCATTTTGCATCTTGCTTGAACACATACCTCTTTTTTTAATCAGCTAATATCTCTTCCATGCTCTTTTCAGAGTCTGCACTATCAGATCAATACAGCCCA